TATATATAAAATAAAAACATATGTTCTCTTAATTGGACTGTTAAGATGCATTTGGATCATAGATTTTTTTAAGACCGGATCCACTGCATTACGCTCACAAACTATTGCCTGATTATTTTCCTTTCTCTGCTTCCTTCTTACATGACCTGAGTGAAATGGTCTCCCTATGGAGGATTTTTTTTTTTTAAAGAAAAGAAAAAAAGTGTGATAACACCCACTGGTTTTGATTTGTTGCTTAAACAGTAGAATCCTGGTGAGGTATTATGTGGGAGGACAGGCGGTGTGGGGGTTGTGTTGAATGTTCGTGTTCTTCAGGAATGATAGCTCTTTGTTTGAGTGGAGTTTGTTCTTTTCCCATCTTTCCCTCATTATTGCCACCCCTGGGCTGCTCCCTCTATCCATCATTAGTATTTGAATTCTTCTGTTTTCAACGCCATCGTTAATATATAAATAGTTTTGTTTTTATTCATATGCACAAATTGAGCCAGCTTTAAATGTTGACTGCAAAAAAACAAAAAAAAGAAAACATTCACAAAATTTCCAGCTCTGTTAGCAGGCAGGCGTGCTCACCGTTTGAATTGTCAGACCCTCAGGCTCAAGCTTGTGAGCTGAGCACAAACGAAGTCCCACTAATAGAGTCCCATCTTAACAGAGTTTTTAGATGTAAGTCGGGTTAAAGCGCAGAGCAGACGGGTCTGAACGTCAGTCAGCATGAGAATGAATGAACGAATCCCCAATTTATATGCATGGGTGTGCACACACAGTCCAAATAAACAGTCTGAGGTTGTCACATCACACGAAAATGTATGCTTTAAGGTCACAAATAAAGAAGTGTTCCTCTTTCCTTTTTCTTTTTCCAAATGCAGCTGTTTAGACCTATGAATTGTATGGATGCATATATATACATCATTAATAATACATCATTAATAAAACGTGCTTTTAGAATTGTATAAAAAACTTTTATGGCGTAAATTAATTAAAGAAGCAAATGAGTTCACCTGTTGAACGTAATGCAGTAGGAAAGCGGTTGTCAGTAATTGGCAGACTCATTTCTCCCAGCCACCTTCACATTATGCCAGGCTGTGCACACACGTCCTTCCCTGCGCTCGCAGGAGCTGAGTGCTCGCTTGTTGCCTGCTCTCACTCTCGGATTAAGGAGTTTGAGAGCCTGCTCCCTTGTCTCCCTCCTCCTTAAAGGCTCAGACAGAGTGGAAAGGGCTGCTGTTTTGCTGTGAAGCTGCTCCTCCCCTCTGTCAGTCTGAGGCTCAGACAAGCTTCTCCACTTTGTGGCTGCAATAATTAGAAATGTATGATAGAGTGTCTGTGTGTGTGGGGGGGGGGGGGTTCTCTTGAAATTAAAGTTTTTTATTTAAAAAAATCTTATTTGTTTTCGGAGCCATAAATTATTTCCAACTGTTACACCAAATTGCCTCAATTCTGGAGAGGTGTAGGCTTACCTCCATAGAGGTGATTTTGATTGAGATTAGTACCTACTTGTAACTACAGGGTGTGTGCTGTCAGGCCTGTGCCAGAAATCATTTCTATTCTTTCTATTAACTAGACAGCTCCTTATTTCTTTTCAAACCATTCAGAGTATGTGGGCTGGTGACATAATTTTCTCAATTTGAACTGGTTGAAGTTGAAACACCTTGTCCCCTGCCATCTTTTCTCTTCATTTCATGGTCTGGTCTTTGTAGACTTCGTTGAGTGGAGCTGCCGCTTGATGCCAACAGCAACCAACGGGTTGCAGTTTCATTTTCTCCTAGTCAGTGTGAGCAGTTTACTGCCTGATTTGAAGGTAGAAAAACAGATGCACCCTGCTTGCTGTGGAGCTGCAGCCTTGGATGCTCAGACCATATGATGGCTTAAAGTTCATACTGCTAATACCTTTTTATACAAGAGAGATAGAGCTACAGAGCAGGAGTAGGCAAGCCCCCGAAGCTCCAAGTCCTGGGAGTAAGTCAGTCTGTATTCTGAAAGAGAAATAATGGATTTATAAAAATTTATGAGGATACCGGAAATGATGGGTTTAAGTCTTACCTTTTCCTATTTCTGAAATATGTTCATTAAATTTGGATTTTGGACACTATAAACCCCCCACAGAATGATCAAAATCGTGTGTGACATCTCACTGGTTTGCTGGCGAGGCCCCTCTGATGCTGCATTAGTCATATCATATCTGTTACCCCTCCCTGCAAGCTGAGTCTTCAGAGGCAGAGGTGTTTTTATGAAAGAGAGAGGTAAAGAAAGATAAAGAGCCAACAGACGGCAGAATGTCTGATGAAAGAAAAGCTATTTCAAACGGTACCAATTTACATCCACCTACATCTCTTCAGCTAGAGCTCATTCACATGAAAATCTTGTCATTTAAACCATGCACATTGGCTGCAAAAATTAAATGTGCTCAAACTAGGCATTTTAATAGCTCACAGTGTGTAATTTAATTTGAAAATGAAGAGACTTTCTGCCGTCCATGGACACATGCGTAACCTTCAGTCGCCTGTGTCCACCAGGTCTATGCGAGATGATCTGAGGCTGCTGTATCTTTTCAGATTAGTTCCTCTTTTTTAATATATATTTATAAAAAAAAGATTAGTTCCTCTTTTTTTTAAAGGTTTTCCATGCATCGCCCACAAACATACATTCATTTTCCTTATATGTATTTGATGCTTCATCAAAATCATTTGCCCAAAACAAGATGTGCTTGTGTATTCTTCAAGTTGTAATGTAGTTTAACCAAATGGTTCAGGTAAATCAAAAAAGCAGTCAGGTGGTCGCTTCAGACTTCAAGAAATTAAAATTTTCCGTAAAAAACCCCCCAAAAACTTCCCTCTAACATAATTATGCTTTCAATTATTTTAATGAGTCCTGCTTAAGAAAGAGGTGGGTAAACCACAATTAGATGCACCATCTAATTGTGCATCTGCCTTCAGTGTCTCTGCCTTCAGTGTCAGTGGAGTGAATGATCTCTGTAGGTAGTTGAACAGAGGGTTTACTGGTTGCAAAAGAGCTTTTTTGAATGGAGACCTTCTCATCACCTCCCCCTTTGAAAACAAAGGGTGTTATGGTTGAATACTCCCACTCACCCATTCCTGCTCTCTCCTGCTCCTCGCACACACCCTCATTAGATGCATTGTGCTGCCTCTCTTGTTCTCACCCATTCGTTTTCATCACTTTTTTCCCCCTTGCATCGAGACTTGCTGAAACAGACAAACACGTTTGCGTCTCGCCTCCCTTTTCATGCACAGCTGTAATTGGGTAAGCATGTGCAGGGTGGCTAAGACCTCGGGGTCGGTGTAGCCACCTGCCCATGTGTTAATGGGCCATTTTCACTCGCTCATCAACACCTCAACTTTACATGAAAGTCTTTATTTGTTGCATTATTGTTAACCCTCTTACTTCTTTCAGCTTCTGTTCTAAGTCTTTTAAATCATCTAATATGTCCAAATGGTAAAAAAAGATCATTTATGGAGTTCTAAACCAGTGTAGCAAATTTGAAATCTGGACATTTCAATCTTCATTTGCATCTAGTTATTTGCTCCGTCCTTTAAAAACTAACCTTTGTTTCCTGTCAGTGTCATCTAGTGATGAAGAGGATTTTATTTATATATTTTTTTTATCCAAACACAAGTTGGTTTGTAGAGATGCTGATTCACTGAGGTGGTGAAAACTAATAATAAATGTGAGAGAGGAGCTGCTGTAATTTATAAGAAACGGAAACGCACAAAAACAAGAAGAAATTGATACACAGATGATGAGGTAGATTAGTGAGGAATGTGCTTCAGGATGCATTCAGGCAATAAGCTAATCAATCCCCCTTCAGACGAGTTTTTCTGCTGGGAGAAATGAATAGTACTTGCACAAGTGAAGAAGAAGGGGTCATGGTTTTGTGATGCCCACGCGTTTGGGCCTGTGTGCCAGTGTCTTCAGGTGTTTCTGACGTCAGTGTTCCTGGATGGAGTGCTGACATGCGGCATGCTTAATTCACAGTGTCACGCCGTGCCGTTTGACATCAGGCGTGTTGGCACAGCGTTTGCTCACAAAGGCCGATGCTGAGGCCGCAGCCTGTAAAAGGGTTTGTGTCTTTGACCGTGAAGCACAAGCTCAGGATGGATCAGTTCTGATTAATTCTCTATCGTCCAAGTGTGTATTTCTGTCAGAAGCGGAACTGGAAAAGAGGACCTTTTAATGTTGAATGAGTGGGGCGTGGTGTTAAGTTAAGAACTTCACACACTTTGGAAATGCAGCACACAGGACAGAGCCACACCTTTCCTGATCACTGCCATCGCTAACAGAATCTGGAGTCCCAAATCAGAGGATGCACACCAGCTCAAACAACACACACGGCTCCCATGCACCTCTTCCCGCTCCACTCTTTGTCTGTGGTCCTGGATCACGTGTGTCGTGGATCACGTTTTTCATGGCTTGGATGCAGTGCTATGTTTGGGCTGCTTTTATTCTGTTTTCTTCACTCGCCTTCTCGCTGGGTTTGTTGTGCTTTTTTTTTCTTGGGTTTTCTTTGTTGTTCTTTTTCCTCGGGCTGAATCCATGTTTGCTTTGCCGCTTTGTCGTCTGCAGCACGTCGCACACGCATACAGATCCATGCTCATGCCTCACTCTCACTTGGTCCGGCACATCTCGTAGGCCTTACATACAGAAACCGATCCCAAAATATTACATCAGAAAGACTTCAGAAACAATTTTTCCAGTATACAGAATGCATTTTTTAATGTTCTGTGCACACGGGCCCTTACGTTTGCAAACAGTGTATTTCTAGTTGTACGCTCTGGCTGCTGAGTATTTACTACACCCACTGATGGGAGCAGCAGCCACCTCACACTCACTCAGACACGCCGTCCTCCCCGCTGCTGCCGCTAATCATTGACTGTTGCACTAGTGCTTGCTTCTTTGGCTGTAATTTATTTTTTTTGTTCTTTTATTTATTTATTTTGTTTGTTTTACCCCTGCGTTCATTGTAATCATGACCTCTCGCTGTTTTAATTTCAGATTTGCATATCCACTTCCACTCCTCCCTCATTTGCATACAGCAAGAATGGCGAGCGGGCATCCCACAGACAAATTCAGTTTCATGTATCAACCAGACACGCACAAGAGGTACGGGGCACACACTCATACACAAACACCCGCGCGCACATACACTCTGGGCCTGTCTTCGGAATAACCAGGTAAGTCTGCACAGCAGAGAAAGACGACTTCCAGAATGCGCAGTCGAAACGGTTCTGTCATCAGGCGCCTTCACACCAACCGTTTCTTGCAGCTGAAGGTTGTTATTCACCGCCCCACACATCAGTCCTCATGTGGAAAGCTGCTCTGTAAACTACTGACTTGTCGGTGCAGATCAGGCGACCTGTGTGAAAGGCCACACAGGCAGACGACGCCATTAGCTGTCAATTGATCCATGCTGTCTTGTGCTTTTCTGTCAGACCTTGAGCTGGTTGTTTCTTCAGCAGTCTTGATTTTTTTTCCTTCTTTCCTTTTTTCTTAGTACAGTTTCATTTTGAGCATAATTCAGCGATGATTCATAAGATTTGATCTTCTACCTTATTTATTTTTGTCGCATGCTTGCAGAATCCTTAAAACGAATGTTGCCCAAACAGTCTGAAAGGGCGGATTCTTTTTTTTCAGTCTGTGCGCTCATTTAAAATTTCTCCCGAGTTTACGTGGATGGCACAATTTGGCCATTTTATCCTTCTATTAGCCACTAATCCCCTCCCCCCTGTTTGTGCTCCTTAGTAAGAACAGGTTATCTTCAGCCATGAATCCAGTCTACAGCCCAGTCCAGCCTGGAACTCCATATGGAAACCCCAAGAACATGGCCTTCACAGGTAACAGCAACATGCACACATACACCTTTATCATTTGTGGAGCATTGTGATTAAAGAGTAGAATTGCGTAAACAACTGAAGAAAGCAGCTTTGTTTTCTTGTATTCATTTTTATTTCATGTCATTCGGTGGTCAGACAAAGACAGAGGGAAGGACCATTCCCATGTCTGCATAAGATGTTATTTCTTTTTAGGTGGTAGATTTCCTTGGAGGGCATTTAAACAGTTTACTTAAGACTTTGGTTTTAAGCAGCATAAGATAGCACATACAAAGTGTAGGGAGGATTTTCCAAAATACTTGAACGTGTACAGTTAGGAAATACCCGGCTTATGTAAGCAGGATAAAGGATGTTGGACAAAGAAAGGCAGAAGATAATTGGGGATAAAGTGTTGCCTGAGGGTGGCGACACTCTTTTGTTGACCTGGGTGAGATTCCCAGTCTTTTCCTGCTAAACAACAGTCCTACATGTCGTACAGCAGATATTTCTTTACAAAGGGTTCTTTTCAAAGCCATGCAGATCATTAAACTCGCACTTCGTTTTGAAGATGTTGTTGGAACCACCTGAGCAGCTCTTCCCGCGACTCAGCGGGACAAACTGAATTGCATTGATTATCAGATTCCTGCCTTCCTTTCAGCGGCTGGAAGCCATGTTCAGTTTCATCAGTGCATCTCTCCCCCCTCATGATTTTATATAAGCTTGTAAACAAGCTGTAAACAATCATTTGGTGTTAAAGGTTTGCTGTCACGTCAGTCGACGGGTTTCCTAACAGATGGTGGTCCTCGACAGGATCTCTGCTTTTCCCTTTGTTCAGTTTTCCTGTTTCAAACTAAGATGGTCGGCTTATTCCATCTTTTTCCTTTGTCACCGGGTTTATAAGCATAAGGACGAGGGCGAAAATTATGTTTAAGTTTTTAACAGAATTGTAACTGAAGCTCAGAGCTTTGCTTGGAGCTTGAAACGGGTTTGACTGTGGGTCGCTTAATGCTGCAGCAAAAAATGTTAGGACGCAAGCTTCCTGCTGATGGTTGTTCTCATGAGCCATCATTCATCACATAGTCTAAAACAGCTTATGGATTCCGCTAGACAGAGCTAGATGATGTCACATTCCACAGAGCTTATTCTGCCATTTGTACCAAGAATTTCAAAAGACAGTCTTGGAAAATGTCTGCAATAAATACTCATGTTGGCTTACTAATCTGTAACTGTTCCTTAAAATGTATGCAGTCTGCATCATTAAATAGTTTCTGTTCCTCTTTGAACCTGGCTGAATATAAAGAGAGGGTTGATAAAGCTGTGTTTATTTTTTCTAATTAAGTCTAAACTGAGAATGTTGAATCATACGGTTTGTGTGGAAGGCCTCCCCTTTGCCGTGGATATTGTTTAAATCTGTTACATTTGTGGATCAGCCTACAGCCTAAATCTAGCTGTAGGAAAGACTGGAAGCCACAGAGCAGATGATCTGTGAGACTGTGTGCCTGTAAAGACAAAGGGAGAGCAACATGTCACTGCTTCTCACTTTGTCTTTTTTGCTTCAGTTTACCTCTTTCCTTGTTGGACTGTTTCCTTTTTTACCTGGACATCCTTCTTTTGGGTGAAATGAGCTTTGTTTGCTTGAAGCGTGACACTCTAGAGTGTGTTTGTGTAGTCGTGTTTGCATGCATTGTTAATGTTTCCCAAATTGATCTCCTCCCACAGCATATTGGCAGGTGTGTCTTGTCTGCAAACTTGTTACTGGTGCAGACATTTTTTATAATTAGCACCATCTGTGCACATCCTGCTCCACGCCAAATACAACCCCACCTGTGTGTGTGTGTGTGTGTGTCATTCTCCGTATGGTTTCTAACATTTTCCTCTTACCTGTAAACCTCTTTCAGGCTACCCAGGAGGTTATCCTGCCACAGCTCCCACCTATACACCCAACCTCTATCAAACAGGCAGTCCTGGGTATCCACCAGGTGAGCTATGACACACACAAGGCCAAGAATGACTGTCAAATGTATTCTCAAGAGAATATCATGGAATGTAAAATCAGTTTTTATAAATACTTATATACAGAATAACCATTTAAGTAACTGTTACTTTAATGGTACATTGTGACTTTCATGTAACCAGCAAGTGTCTTAACTGTTTTCAAAGATGTCTTTTGATAGTTGCATTATTGATCAGAGGAAAAGTGTTTTGTTCTGGACGTTAGCAGCAGATGCTAAAAACCCTGCTGTCTCCTCAGCAGTGATGGACTGGCTGCCTGCTGCCTTCCCATCTCTCAGCGCGCCGTTAGAATCGTAAACTAGTTATCAATACAAACATTAAGCCACAGACATGGCGACACAGCACGAGATGACCCTTCACACCGCTCTCCGCTCAGGTGTAAGGATGGTCTGCAGCCCGTCTCTGACGACCTGCACATTTCTAATCATCCTAAACCAGATTTGTTTGCTGTCATGTCCAGATATTTCTGTTCGATCTCTATATCTAGCGGGCGCAGCCGAAAGCCCTTAATAAAAACCTGAAACTAGTAACGGCGTCCTGTTCTACTCTGCAGTAAGCACTGCAGTGGAGATGCATCGCCAGTGGTGAGACAGGACAGTTTTAGTATTGACCCTGATGAATATTGGATTATTCATTTAATATTGATTTAGCATTTGAAATAATAGATAATTGTTTATTTATTTATGGCAACCCCAGTGACCATGCTGACTGAGGGGTTGAAACTAGACCCCTCTGTTTAGTGCAAAGATGGACTCGCATTCAGTCAATTGAATAAACTCCTGCAATTAGTCATTTCATTTCACGGGAATCCCTGCTACTGCTCTGTATCTCTGCACCATGATTTTTATGCAAACTTAACCTAAAGCAAATATTGTCTCCCTAAATGTTTGATAACTGCCTGAGTCATCAGGGGTTACAGTTCTGTAAATCAAACATTACTGTTAAAAACTGAAGTATCATTAGGACCCCTAATGCAGCTCTAAACGTAGCTCAGATGCAGCATGAGGTAAATGGGGGTTCTCAACCTAAAGGCATTAATGGTGAGGGAATGGGAAACTGGCCAGGAACAGCTGCCGGTGGCCGTACAGCAGATTCATCTCAGCTGGGGCTCACCGTCTGGCCCCAGAAGCAGAAAGGGGGGGGGGGTTAGGTTTGTTTACCCTGTCTGTATAGATCTAGAGAGTTCAGATCTTGCTAATTTAGGCCTAATTGTCAACGAATGTTGTGTTTGTACAGATTCAGAGTTTGATCTTAATGTGATGATTTGGATTCAGTCTGCATTTATTACCTGCTTACCTGAAACTGATCTCATCCGCCTACATTAATAGCACCTTTATTTGTGTGTTTCACAAAGGCACGTGGAGTTTTATATTTCATCCATTGCTTGTGATTGCTTGTTTAGTTTTATCTTTTCGAAGTCTAACAATATCAGATCTGCTTTTGCAAAGCTCACACTGCTTTGTTCGAGCAGACACCTGAACTTCTTTGTTGAGGTTGTGTTGTTGTTTTCTGACTGCATGTTTCTCTTTGTGCTTGTTTTGGTGCCCGGGAAATTGTTTATTTATTTAAGTATTTTCCTTTTTAAAAATATTATTCTTAGAAAATACTGAGGCAGACTGCGGTGTAATTAGAAAAAAGCATCTCGGTCATTATGTCTCAGACGGCCTCCGGCTGCTCATGGCTTTTGGGCAATCGTCACACACCATTGTCATTTAATGCCTGTCATGCATGTTAGAGCCCAGACTGAAATAGAGGGAAGACGCGCACGCACACAGGCGCTCTCTTACTTTGAGCCACAGCGTAGTTATAGCATCTCTTTGTTCCCTTGTCCTTGTGTGAGGGAAGGGCTTTCATAAGCTCCACGGCGGCAGCAGCAGCTAGCTAGTAGCATGTTTGACCTTCAGGCTCCTCCACGTGTTGGCTGTGAGGTACTGCAGCCTGAAGAGCAGAAAACACATGAACGCAGCACTGATGCCCTCACTAACCCCTCTTTTTCAACAAGCAGAGATGTTCTGTCAGGGAAAGCTGGATATTGTGTCGACTGCCGTGTTTTCAACTAATGAATTTGATTGAATACATGGTAAACTAAATTCAAACTATTTAAATCAATTGATTCTTTCTTAGTGTGAATAGGAAAGATGCTGTGTTCAAAACTCAAGGTTAAGCCTGCCAACAGAGTTTGATTTTTATTTTCATTATTTATTTATTTTAAATGGACTGGCTTTGCTGTGTTGAGACTGAAATACCCTGGATAGATGGCACCAGCCCCCATCTGGTGGATTTGATAGGAAATGCAAATATTTAAATGCAGAAAGTAGATATGTTGACATGACTCTGCACACTGCTGCTGTTCCACACTGAGACCTTAAATGTTGCCAATCCTTTTAGGATACCTGATACCAAGGCAGTTGGTAGTTTATAATATGATTTTAAAAAACGATAGATATGATTAAATGTAGTTGTTGGAAATCTCTAGGAAGGCAAATGTTTACTAAATGCTGTGATTTAAAGCTCTTAGTTCCAGTTTCAAAATAATTAAATCTTATTCTCCTTCAGATCCTCATAGTGGCTGAATAACTTTTGTCTTTTGATACAGCAGGTAGCTTGATTAGTGTTCTTTGCTTAACACCCAAAATAAATCCTTTGAACTGCTCTGCTCATCTCAATGATATCCATATTGTATAGTTAATACTTTCTCCTTTTTTGTTGTAAACTGTCTAAATGGTTCTGAAGGTTCTACGGTAATGTAACAAAAAATGTTATTGTTCTCCCCGTCTTCCTTTTTTTGTCTTTCTCTAGGATATACTCAAGCAGGAACTCCGTACAAAGTGCCACCCACTCAGTCAAATGGAGCACCTCCTCCCTATACCCCCACTCCTACCCCATATCCCACAGCCATGTACCCCATCCGCAGTGCCTACCCTCAGCAGAACATTTATGCACAGGTAAGAGTGTCAGGAGTTACGCTGTCGGGGATTTTAGTCTCCTTGTTGTGTTGCCAGGTGGTCTGCTGTCTCTGTCTTAGCTTTAGCCTGAGAACTATTCTCATTTTCAGTGTTGGAAAATGTAGTCCTTAGGTAAAAGAAACATCTGTCTAGTGTCAGATGGCGTCTGTTCAGCTAAATGTTTCCTTTCAGGTTCAGGCTCTCAACACGTTGAGATTAGGGATGAAAAGACCCCCATATGACAAGAAATCCACTAAATACAAGTTTCTCTTATGTGCAGTGCATACATGGTTTGTTTGGTTGGAGCTGAGGTTCAACTGGACGATCACAGAGAGAACTTTTAAAAAGTTTTAATATTTTGTTTTGGTGCTGTTATAATTTCACGCTTCGCAGAGTGACCAGAAAAAAGAGAACTTTTTCAGTCTTATTTCTCTAAAAACATTGATTGTAAAAACTTCCCCGTTAGATTCTAAAAATAGTAAACATTTGAGTTGTGCAATACGCAGCAACTTCTCCCTCCTCACCACTTCATGTGTTTTCTTTCCTTCCTTTTTTTCTCCTGACAGGGAGCATATTATACCCAGCCCGTGTATGCGGCCCAGCCACATGTGATCCATCACACCACCGTGGTGCAGCCTAACAGCATTCCCTCCACAGCCCTGTACCCTGCCCCGGTCCCCGTCCCCGCGCCACGCAACAACGGCATGGCTGCCATGGGGATGGTAGCTGGGACGACCATGGCCATGAGCGCGGGTAGGACAAATGTTGCTTTTAGCAGAGACATGTCGGAAGAGGGCAGTCCTAATTTAAATAGTCTCTTTTATCTAAATCACGGTTCTGATTTTACAATGATGCTTTTTCTGTGTAGGAACTTTGTTGACGACGCCCCAGCACCCCCCCATGGGAGCACACCCAGTTACTGTGCCAACCTACAGGCCCCAGGGGACACCTGGTTACAGCTACGTACCGCCTCACTGGTAGAGCCCCACCCATCATGTGAGTGTTTACTTACTACCTCTTTCCGTCCCTCCTTTTGTTCCCTCGTTGTCTGTCCTGAGTTCCGCAAACTGTGCTGCCTCACATTTCTTTGCCTGTTTTCCTCTGTTGGAAATGAATCACTAATGTGTGCTTTTGCTCTCTTTCTCCTTTTTTTTTTTTTCCTCCACCAGATCTGGAGTCCACCATCGTATGCAACTGCTCAAATCTTACACGAGCTCCCAGCGGTAACCATGGGAACTCGGCACCTGTCTGCAAGAACAAAACTAAAGTGCAACAGCCACTTTACCTTTATAATTATTATTATTATTATTATTATGCGACATTCTGTTTTTACAAAAAGCTGCTTTTCTTTTTTTTCTGTTCATTTGCCAACCAGTCATTACTTCTTATTCCTATGGTTGTTGTGTTTGATTTCCTCATTTTCTTTTGCTGTCTGTCATTGGAACTCCAGAAGGACTCTTAACTCTACCGCCGGTGTGGCCGCTCCCGTTTCTGTGTTGTGCTGGTCTGTGTGTGCGTGTGTGGTCCTGCCTGCTGCTGCTCAGTTGGCTGGAAAATATTGGGCACTTACTCTTCATCAACATCATCATCATCTCCATCAACCGGTCACTAAACAGACTATTGACTAATGCTGCCAAATTTTCTAACGACTAGATATCAGCACAGGGGTTTAACATCATCTTAGTTTGTTGGGTTATTAGTTATTAAACACCACACTTAGCTGAATTTTCTTAAATCTATTTTATTTCGTCAAACTTTTCTTTCGCCTTCCCCTTCATGTTCTTTTGTTTTCCCCATAGTTTACTCCCAGTCATCTTCCAGAGCGTAGCTGTCTGTCTGACAGTCGTCATTATCCACGCTGTCACGTCTCCCCGTGCGCGAGTCGATCAGTGCTGTGAGCACCCGCCGACCGCCAACCGTAGGGCTGCGTGTCTTCACCATGTCCACATTTGCGCTGTACCTAGTACAGGTAACAAAAAGAATCCCCTCCTGCGTGCCACATGCTACGCAGGCTGGTATGTTTGGACTCTATATCAAAATCTCAGCATGGCTGGAGAACACTTTGGGGCTGGGTCCTGTCAGCTTTTCTCATGAGGCTGAGTACATTGAGAAATTTCTGAAAATGTTTCGCATTAACAGTGTCAAAAACGAGTGTGCGGTGGCCACGCCTTCTTTCTCACACACACACACACACACACACCTGCACACATAGGGGCTCCTGTGTGCGTCAGAACAAACAGGATCACTTAGGGCACTTACAGTTCTGATAACGCATCCATACACACACACACACACACAACATGACACCTACGTGTGGTTCTGGGAAGTACGCAGGGCAGATGCAGCCAGCAGAAGGTGCTCAGAGGGATCGCAATGTTGCCGGGAGGAGGGACGAGGAGATTGATGTACTCACAAGAAGTCATTTCATTTCAAGGTGCAAGACATTTGAGTTTGTGGCATCCCACTTTCTTAGGGCTGCACAAACAGACGGCTACTTTTGCACCGTGTATTGCACATTGAGATTTGTTTCTGGGGTTTTTGCCGTGGTTATATAATCTCCTCCTCCGTCCTTTGTCCCGGCAAGGACTAATAAGCAAACATAGTCCAGGAGAGAAAGGCAGGCCACTGAGGCTTCAGCTGATTGGGTAAATGTCGTCCTTGGAGAGCAAGCGAGAGCAGAACCAGGCTGTGATCATTCAAATAAGAGTGCAGTTACCTTTTCTACATACAAAGTGTTCAACATCTGACTTTGTATGACCCGTCTTCATCAAACCTGCTGTTATTTGGTTTTTCGCCCGTCAAAGATCTTTGACTAGAAAAGGCAGCGGCAGAATTAATTATTTAGGCGAGGTCTGTGGCATTTTACAGGAATTACAAAAAAAAAAGAAAAAAAAGTCACAACTTGATAGTCTATAGAGTAGAGACTGGTATTACATAAAGCATTTACTGTGCAGGTATGTGGATGGAGTGGTTTGATCTTTGCAATAAAACAAGAGGGAATGCCTCCAGCTGTTAACATACAGTAACTATTTTATCAGCCTTTTCGATTGATTTTTTTCCTTTTAAAATGCTTATTATAATATCTAAACATGAATATAAGGCTGTTTAGTCAGCTGGCATTCAATAATAATACAGTAACAGCTAAGAAGACAGTAGAACATATCAGAGTTTGGGTTTTGAATAACATTGTGAGGAAATATTGCACAACATAAGTTTAAAAAAAAAACTTGACTATACTACTATAATTTAATGCTAAGTAACAGGTACTTAGGGTTTGTAGTGCAAGATGGAGGAAAAAAGCAATTTATATCGTAATTACAATAAAATAAGGTTGAGTGTTTGAGGTATTCTTAGTCCAGATGTTTGTACACTTGTAGGTTTAATTCTCAAGATATTGCATAACGCCGCTGTCGGAGGAAAACCACCTATACTTGAGCCCGCGTTTAAAAGAAAAACAAATATCATATTCATTTTAGATAAGTAAATGTTATTGGCATGATAGACCTTTAAAAAAAACGTTTCCACCATGTTAGAATCTTGTGTATTTGAAATTGATGCCAATTGCAAAATGATTTTTAAAAGACTATAAAAGATTACATCAGAGTGGATTTTCTTGCGACAGCAGTGATGTTACTCTACATTAGGATTATTTAACCAACCACTACCTTTGTCAGTATTTCTCAATGAAATCTTCTGTTGGACTTAGTTTTTTCTCTTTTAAATATATATCTTTTGGTTCTCTTCTCCCTTTGGTCAATTGAGCATAATTGGTATGCGTAATATTCAGGTGTATTTCACTATAACATTGGATTTCTAAGTTTAAAAAAGACATGCAGTATATTTATACAGCAAGTGGTACAGTAATGTATTTCTAGCTAAGCATGGTTGCATCAGTGTGGCAGCTACTGTTTGTGCTTTTAATATGTTTTTGAGTTTTATTCACCTCTGGTATGTCTGTCCTCTCCATATCTGTCACTATGAGGGGACAACGTAACACAAAGTCTGTAAATAATGTTGAGACTTGTGGAATTTTCCGTCACCAAATTCCCGTGTTTATATGATTGTTGCCTGAAATTGACACCGAGGGAAACGGAGGACGGACAGACGGACGGCAGAACCGAAATGGGTGGGAGGCCAAACCCTCCCGTCCCATTTGGGCTCTGCCGGTGTGAGCCTGTATTGAATAATGTGTTGGAAAACCCTCAGCCTCCATGCCCTTTGTTCTGTGCCATATTTCACCACTTGTCGTTCGGTAAATATTTGTTTCTTCTCCTAAATAACTGGTGAACTCTGAGTCCTTGTTACGTCTAGCTTCCTGTGAATCCGTGTTTTCCTATTGCTGTCCTGTTTCTCACGCTGTTGATGCATATGACCTTTCTTGACTTTTATCTTACTGTATCCTCTGTGTTTTATCCTGTTTTCACTCTTTGTTTTTGCATCCTGACAAGCGTGTTACATTCTGGGGTGCAAAAACGGATGTCAGGCTACATGTTCCCAATGCCCTTCTGCCACTTTCTTTCCTCACACATGTTTTTTGGGCTTTTTGTGCTCCCCGTTTAAGCGTTGCTACCCTCACCACCCCATATGAGCAGCATCATGTCATCAGGTGACATGAGGCTCACCAAATTCACGTTTGTAACTGTGGGAATGACCACATTTTAAGGCACGTCCGAAATTCCACTGCCTTTTTTTCTTTTTTCTTTTTTCTAACACTAGATGTCGCCAGTGACAAAGTCTTGAAGTGGCATCACGGCTTTGAGCCAACACCATAGATTCATTATCTACATTTTGAAAATTGGATGTCACATTTTGAGCACTGAGATATTTTGGGGATCATGGATTTTAGTTTTCTTCTTTTTTTCCTTTTAAAAAAAACATTTTTTTTCTTTTTTTTTTTTAAGGGCATTTTTTCAGAAATGCCATTTGGCAACAAAAAATACCTCCAGACGAGGTCTTACTTGTGGTGGGAGGAGCAGGATATTTCTGTGCTGTGGACCAATGCTCCTGAACTGTAATTCAGTTGAAAGAAGGAGGCTAGGCTGAGAGGCAAACCCGCAGAAAGCAGCCAGAGAGGTGCAGCTAAGAAACATCCCTAAAGAGCAGGGCTGTTTTTCGTCAGGGGGGGGGGGGGGTCCAACCACCCCCTCATGTAACTCCATTCCTTGCCTCTTATTCATTTCAATTTGCACTTAAGAGAAAGTGGGAAGTTGAACACGTGTTTTCCGGGGGGAGGTGGGGAGAGGAGGGGGAGGTTGGTGGGCAAAGTCGTCTTAATCATGGATCATTTATTTATCATCTTCTCGTCTCCATCCATCACTCTATCCTCCATAACATTTCCAAACTTTTAAAAGCGATAACTTTAATGAGGTTTACTCAGTTTTTTTTCCTCTACATTTTTACACAAATTGATTTTATTCTTGAACCTTTTTCACTTTGACAGTGAAAATGTCACCAGAAGCATTAATTACTACTCCCCACCCCCCTCTTGCTTCTTTTTGCCTTGCGGTCTAACTCTTATTTTTCCTGAGTATGCATTAAAAAGCTACTATCACAGTGAATAGTAGGCTCTTAAATGTCTTTGATGTTTCCGCTGCAGCTTTTTTTTTCATTTCACGTCTTCAGATATATCTTTCAGTTTGATTGGACACTAAATGTGATGCAAAAAGTGGAAATTCCTTGTCTTCCAAAAAAAAAAAACGAAAAAAAAAAAAAACACCTACTCGGATCCCTCCCAGACCGAGTATTAGGAACAACCCCATCTTTGGAAGTTTTAGTTTGGTACCCAGTTTGCACATGCTATGGTATATCTGTTACCGTAAGGTTGTGTTTGAAACTGAAGCCCAACGTCTGTTCAGCGTTGAGAGAAGTGAATTGTATGTTAGCTATTTGGTCCAGAGTGAAGGACCTGCGTCAGGCTTGTGATATGAAGTGTACATTTGTTTTCTTTTCTTTTTTTATGTTCATTTTTTTCGTTGTTGTTGAGGGTTTTTTTTTTTTTCTTCAAAGATCAGTTAGTGATCTTAGTACTATAACTAAGCCAAGTTTGTAATTGTATATTTACTGTAAAATGTAGAACATTGAATAACTATTAAAATTTTCCTATAAAAGGAACACTGTCATGCGACTTATTTTTTTCTGGGAGGGGGTAAAGTTGGAAGAGATATTTAAACGGAACCTATTTACACTAAACTTTGCTGACTTTGCTTAAAAAAATCAAAGCCTGAAGCCAAGACAAAACCAATTTTCTTTTATCCACTCACTGTATTGACTGGGTTCAATCTCAGGAGCTTGAGATTTAGCTCGGTATAGAACT